ATAATTATAAGTTATAAAATTAAAACTTATTCATATTATATTTTATCTTGTTTATAATCATTAACAAAATAATCTTATATTTCTCTTCTAATTATTATTATTAATTAGCATTTCTGATAATATAAATTTGTATCTATCATTTTTATCATAGCTATCATTATCTTTATTATTATTATAACTATTATTTTCTTTATTACTATCATTATTTTATAATCTTTATTACCATTATAATATTATTACTTATATACAATATGAACAAAAAGATGAAATAATTACAGAAAAGATAAATACAATTAATCTTAAAGTCCAAGCAAGAAATATATTAACAAAAGTAAGCAAATTCAAGCCTTACTATCAATCAACTTGCTAAGAGATATAGTTATGACAGAAGCATAATTTCAAAAATTTTGAAGATAAAAACAGAATAAATATTAATGTAATTAATATAATTCTAAACAAAAAAAAAGATTAATCAATTAGTCAAATTTGAAAATTAGAAATAACTTTGATTATTTGAATATGATAAATTTTTTTGAAAAATATAATCTTAATTAATGAACTTATATAACTTCAAACAAAGAAATTTGCAAGATTATTAAATATTTCAGAAAATAACTTTAAAATGAGTAATAATTGACTTAATAAATTTAAAAAGTAAAATAATATTCAATAATTCAAAATTCAAAAGAAGTCAAAAAGTATTTTAATCAAGTTTTTTTCCAAACATAGGCAGGAATTAGTCAAATTACTCAAATAATATAGGCCAAAAGATATCTATAATACTAATAAAACTGATTTCTTTTTTTGAATAATATCTGATCAGATACTTATAATATAGACTATCAAAGAAAAAAAAAGACAAGAAATAAATTACTATTTTACTTTATATGAATATAACTAATATAAACAAGCTTAAACTATTAGTTATTAGAAAGTTAGCAAAATCACAATACTTTAAAAATATTTCAAAGAAAAATCTTGGTGTTAAATATAAAATAAATAAGAAAACTTGAATAAAAAGTGATATTTTTGAGCATTAGATAAAATTTCTTAATAATATCTTCTGATAAAATCATAGATAAATTTTACTTCTAGTGAATAATACTATCTCTCATATAGTTAAGAAAAAATCAGAGCATATTAAAATTCATTTTTTGCTATCTAATATAACTACCCATTTACAGTCATATGATACTGATATAATCAACTTCTTTAAAGTCTACTATCATAAATTATATCTTCAATATATTTTAAAAATAATAAATATTAGAGAAAAAATATCTCATCTAAACATCAAGAAAGTAATTAATTTCACTATAGAAATATGAGAAAATATAACTTCTCAAATAATTATTAATTATTAGCAGAAAATTCATATAATATTAGTAGATGAATGAGATTGGTCAAATTTAGATACACATAATAAAGAGAATACAAGACTTGAAATAAATATTCAAGAACTTATTTTTAATATTTCTATTAATTGTGTGTTAATAATAATGGCTGATGACTATATTAACTTTAATGATTTGTTTCAGATAGAAAAAGTTGTTATCAACAAGAAAGCTATTATTGAAGAAATCTTTTAATTATCTAGTTCTAAAGATGATAAGATAGTGATATTGAAGTTAAGAAGATTTCTCATATCATTATATTGAAGTAATGTAAATTACTTTTACAATATATTGAATAACAAAATCTAGTAATATTTGTATAGGAGCTGGACTTGTCAAGATTGTGAAGTTTATTGTAATGTATTCAAGAAGAAATAATCAAGATGAAGTAGCAAAAATAATTGATCAATTTTTTTTAAGTTTGGAATTTGGATCAAAGTGAAAAAAAAGTTTTTAGTAATAGAGATCTATTTTTGGGCAGGAATAAAATGTAAGATAGCATTCTATTTTAGACTGATAAAATAGCAAATAGCATCCATTTTAGGCTGAAAATATCAAACAGAGTCCATTTTAGAGATTAAATAAAAATAAAGCCATTGAATAACATGACAATAAATTTATTAATATCTAATATCTACTTTTAGTTCAATGTATAGTTTTTATTCAATTAATAAATAATCAATAAATCAACTCTATATTAACCAAATCGTCCGGTCCCGTGAGGTTGATAATAGAGGGGTCACTGTATATGAATGATAAATGTACAGACGAATCTCGGAAAAATTAGCAACTGATGTATGATAAGAACGGCACTGCGGATCGCGTGATTTTTGTGTAATAAGAAAAGAATCGATAATCAGTTATAATGTCTTCCTCCAAAATAACTCAACACTTTCGTAAGACCGTTTTTCCAATTCACTTCGTTAACCATCGAGTACGATGCCTTCAGTTGCCGAGTCTTATGTTGAGGAACTTGAGACCTGACTTATTTCAATCATCACTTTCGAGACCTTATGCGAACTCTTCACCTTCTCCCCACACGTCTCCCGAAGAGTCTACATCGTCCTCCTATCTGAACAAATTCACAAAATACATTGCAAAACGGCTTCCAGTATGAGATTTATTGTTGTTTGTTATGCATTGTTCGATCAAGTTTTCAACATCTTTTCGTTATTTGTAGACTGCTATATTGACGAACATAATTGTAACTGGCCTTGTTGGTCTTATATCAGTGGACCTTCTATATGCTTGGTACCGAAACGGATGTAACGAACGTCTTCTCAACGAAACTGTGGAAAAGGGAACTCGACCTGAAATTGATGTTTTAAATGATGAGCTTGTTTCTCGACCTCTAGTTGTAGATCGCCTTAAAAAAATTTTTCAACCGCATAGAAATCAATCATTTTATCACATGGTTTGCGGTGAACATGGAACTGGAAAAACTACATTAACCAGGATTGCATCGAGAGAAGTTGGGCAGGGTGTCATATATGTTGATACTCCTGCTGATATTGAAGACTTTGGTAAAGCATTTGGAAGAGCCCTTAACTTTGCGTTTGAGGAACATATTTCTTGGTCAGGACAACTGACGCGGAAAGTCTTGGGCGACACTAATAGTAAGTTTTCATTACTGCATTATTGTTGGCAATCAAATATTTTGAACCTAATTTCTCTTTTTTATAGATAAATTCGAGGATCCCAAGTGGAAGAGAGCCATGGAAGCCTTTAAACGTGCTTCTGCCATGTACAAAAAGAAGCATAATAAACCATCGGTTATCGTTTACGATAATGTTAGCCGATTGGTTCACAAAAATCCGGAAATCCTCGACATCCTTCAAGATGATGCCAAGGATAATGCTGATGATAGAAAATACATCGCAGTTTTTGTCAGCAGTGAAGAAAGTATTCCTAGAAGAATGGAATGTAAGTACCGATATTATTTTTGTGCTCTCGAAAAACTGGTATTATTTACATATTGTGATTCTTATTTTTAGCACGTAGTGCCTGGTCACGTGCAAAAAAACCAGCGATTGAAATCGGTGACCTTAACGAAGAAGAATCCATGGAATATCTGACTAAGAAGCTCAAGATCAATGAAGTAGAAGCAAAAAAATTATATGAGTTGGTTGGTGGTCGCATTGTAGAGCTGAAGACTGCGACGACTGATTTCTTGGCTGGACAATCCTTCAAAGGCAGTTTTGGTTTTGGTTTTAATATTTACATTATGTGGTTCTGCTTTTGATCGCTTCTTACTATTAAGTCTGTTTCCAGATATCAAACAGCAAATCTTAACGGAAGTTGAGAATAAATTCAGGACTGCGAAACTTCTTGAAAATTATAAATATCATGAAGTAGGAAAACGTATCGTCAGCGCTTTGCTTAATTCCAAAGAGCTTAGCCGTATTACATTTGAGAAGTTTTTCAATAAGCCTGAGGAAGCTAACGAAGTTTTGGAGACAAATGTATTTGCATATCATCCAGAAAATAATACCGTAACCTTTCAGTCTCGCTCAGTAGAATGTTATATTCGGGAAAATGCTAGTATATTTATTAAATAGAGTTACTAGACACTATTAATTGCATAATAAAGTTTTATTTTTCCAGTTATTGTTTTTAAAATGATGATAAAATACGATAAATGATGGAGTAGCGAGTTTCAAGAGAGGAAACATCTCGAGCCCTAACCCATAAAATGAGAGTTCCTTTCCCGCTACTCACTATTAACTGTTTTGCTATCGATCCAAGCACCTATTTTATCTAAGTTGCTACCTCTTAAATCATTAATTTTACGATAATAATTTTTGATTATATCTTTACTAAGTTTTCCCACCCTAAGATTAAGAAGATCAACCATTACAATATTACACATCGTCAAAGGAACATTCTCTTTCTGCCATAATTCTATCGAAAATAATCTTAAACTGATTCCACATTGCTAAACTCATCTGAAAATGCTCGTTGGCTCGAACCAGAAGATGCTTCGGATTGATTTGCGTCACTTTATTGGTCGGATGAGGATGAGTTATTATCTTGAAGTTCTACTTCCTCGATAGGCTCAATTCTTATCTCTGGAGAAACGACGCTTCGTGCTTGGACAACGGCATAATATCGATTGATTTCGTTTTGGAGCGTTGAGATACCCCCATTGATTGATTCGAATTCGGTTGCGACTCTACCAAAATTATTATGGTAGGTTTGAAGGACTTGTTCGATTTCACCGAATTTTGCAGCAGAAGTATTAAGCATTGTAAAGATTCTTTGGACCTCTGCTGTAAATTTTTCGTCACGCGAGGTAAGTTCAGCGTTAAATTTGGCACGGTAATCGGTGAGTTCAGTTACGAATCTGGCATCCCGATCGGCAAGTTCGGTGGTAAGTCGGGCATCACGATTAGCAAGAATTTCATTAAACATGGTATCACGTGTAGAAAGGTCGGAATTATGCTTGGCGTCGATGTCTTGCTTAGTAGTACGTGAAAAATAAAACGTGGCACCGATGACCAAGTAAATAGAGAATTTCTCAACGAACATCAATAGACCGGTGAAGTCCAAAAAAGGAGAGATACCCAGCGATGACATCTATAACCAGAAAAAATGTTCGTTAGCATATATACACGATTGTGGGGGGAGGTGACATAGCATATAAACAAATAAAAAACAAACCTTAATTGCTAGAAATTAGAAATTGTTTCGAGTGTATGAATTTTTTTATTTATCGTGGATAAGATTTATTAATATTTGTTAAATGTTTTATTCCCTTAATTCATTAATTATTATCGTGAAAAGGATAAAAGATACAGTAAGGAATTCTTCGACCTTTTTATAACTGCGAAGCAAAAAAATCAGATCAGAATTTATTTATAGACTGGGGTAAAGGGCTGGAAACTGCCAGAACTTTACATAGGTGAAATATGTTAATTGGATCAATAGCCACTGTGTGACTGCCTCCGGCAATTCTTTGCTCTTGTTATCATTAATAATCAGAACGTTAATCTGTGGCGAAAGATAAAAAATATAATGGGAAAAGCCTAGAGTCTAAGATATGACGTTTATTACTGGTACCACCAACTTCAATAAATCGATCTTCTGACTAACCCAATTAATTTCTTTTTGTAATAGCCTCGCCTTCGATCCTTATTCTTTTATTCAATTTAGTATAGACATCTTATCTTTTAGGGAAAGTGTATTTATTTCGCAAAAAAAGCTCTGCTTCGATATAATCCAAAATTAGAATATTTGTATAGATGATCAATATATAATCCTTACCGTTGATCTATACCCCGTACCAGATTTTGTCAATGCGCTTATGTATTAGTAAAACTGACGTAGTTAAATCGGCCAATCATGTTGACGTTGGCAAAAAGTCTTTATTACTATAAAATAAATTACAAAGTAAATGTGAAGCAGAAAATCTATCTACCCGTTATTTTTCGGTAAATTTTTTGATCCTAGCCTTCTTACTGGCTGGGGAATTATCAACACTAATTCTATCTTTTAATAATCCAACAATAACATCCAATACTTGCTTCATGTCCTCTCTCATAGATTCTAGATCTTTTTCAAGTGCCGTTTTGGAAAGATTAATTCGATATTCACTCTTACTGGTGCAATAGATCCCATCAGTAGCAAAAATGATGAAATGTCATTCCGTAGCTAGAGGCAGAGTCACATTGTTTTACAATAAAAAATAAATTTATAAATTGGTTGTGGCACAACCAAAAAATCTATAAGTACCTGTAGAAACTATTCCGTAAAGATAATCATATTCATCCTTGAAAGCTTCATCTACTATATGCTTCTTCTTATTTGTATGGTATGCACTTTCTAATTGCATAATATTCTGAAGGTAATCGATTTTGATGTTACGAGACTTTCCTTCTGCTATACACATAAGATCCTCATTTTCTTTTATGGGGGAACACTAAAGCCGGATAGTGCAATTCAGATTGAGTCAATTCAGATATGATCTGGGTTGATTTGATCCAATTTGCAAGTCATTTTCACATGTGAAAGAAAAAAATTTTGTTTATTACAAGAATGTAATAAACATATCAATAAACATTATTTATTGCAAGGCAGTGTTGCTTTTTTTAAGAGAGAAGAGGAAGAAGAAGAAGAAGAGAAAGAGGGCTAAGATTATTAAGAATATATTTTTGATGTCAAATACAAGCTATAAGTATTATAATAATAATACATAAGAAACTAATTTTATGCATACTTGCCATTTCTAATACAATATACTTTTTATTTCATTTCTCTATCACATACTCATTCAATATGTATACTTAACATTTCTATAATTTTTTATTTGTTTTTTTTCTAGTTCAGTTTGTTAACTTTCTCATTCTGTCATTTTATATTTATTTATCATTCTTATTTAAGTTTTTCAATATTTTTACTTTAATTATATTACAAGTGATCAATCAAAAATATGCAAAGTTATTTAATATTAATATACTATTTGAGATCTCAGAAAAAGAATTTTACAAGAACTTGTGATCACTTATTTCCAATATATGAATATGATATAATAGTTAGAAGTGTGTCAATAATAATTTTTGAATTATCTATATTTATCATCTTGCAAAATATAATAAATTGAGTATACGTAAAGAAGATATCTTTATAGAAAAATAAAAAAAATAAGTAAGCATAATTCTGGTAATACAATGTAAAAATTAAGATAATATATATTACTATTCTTTAAATGATTAAAATTAAGTATTTTAAAAATATGTCAAATTATACATATTTAATTAATAATAATAATAAGATTAAGTAATTTGAAATTATTAAAAAATTAGTAACTGATGAAGTAAGTAAATTATACACTTCACCTATTATCATAGTTATGGTTAAAGAGATCATAAATAAAAAAGATCTTAATATTATAGTTCAAAATCTATACAGAACTGAAGTCACAAATATCTAATAAAAGCTATGCAGACTATTGATAGCTCATCTTATTGACAAATATAATCTAGAAACTGATATTAAAAATATACTTAATTTTTTAATAAGCAAGAATTATTGAGTCAAATACTTCTTAATACAAAATAACACACATACAGAAGAAGAACTCCAGTTTAGTTAAGAAATATAATAGAAAAAGAGTCTTCAGAAGAAGAAGAAGAAGTTTAGCCTTCAATCCTTTTAGATTCATCTTCACTATAATCTCAAAGAAATCAAGAAGAAGAAATAGCAAATCAAGCTGTACAAGCTTTAGTCTAAGTACTTGTGTCTCTTGTATAAGTAATGCAGAATCAACAAAACAGACAAGTTGAGTTGATAATAGTATTACTCCCTTTTTACAGTGATAGAATACATAAAAATCCTATGAATTGAATTGAAGAATTTACTTGTGTAGCAAATACAAATAACATAACAAATTAAAGAAAAGTAGAAATAGTATTTACCTATTTAAGAGAAATTATCTTAACTTAGTATTAGCAAAGTAAACTTACAAATACTGATTGACCTACCAGCTGGAATGATAATAATAATAATAATAATAATAATTTATTTTACCAAATCTTTATTACATAATTTAGAACTAATACTTAAGTCTTGACATAACAATAACAATTAAGATTGAGAATGCAAGAAATAAATGAAGATATAACTTCTTATACTAAGAATATTTACATACTACTTCAAAAAATTGACCTAATATAAGCATATCCTATTACTTACTATATCAAGCAATTTGTAAAAGGCTTGAAACTGGATTTTGCCTTTTATGTAAATAAGTCTAATCTAAACACTCTGGATGTAATAATCACAGAAGCAATCAGTACTAAATCTAGTTATAAATAGATCTATCAGAATCCTCTAAACTCTATTTCACTCATATTATAAAATCTTGATATTTTCTTTTCCATTCCAAGTTCAGTAAATAATATGAGTAGAGTTATAGCTGATCTCACAGAACAAATAAAAAAATTATCAATTCAGAATAATCAAAATTCTAATAATCATCCTAATCAAGGCAAAACTTGCTATAATTATGGTAAAAATGGTCATATAGCCCATGATTATAGACTACCAAAGAAAAATGCAAATAATAATAATAGTAATAATAATATCTCAAATATTAAGTATTTCAAATATAATAAAATGAGATACTATGCTAATAGCTATACAGAAAGAAATATGAATATTAGACAGTCAGCTAATCTTAGAGCTAATATTATTTCAGTTCCAGATAATAATCTTTTATTACAATAACTATAATAATTCTTAAATAAACAGTCTATTATACTTCTACTTCCTAATGTCATTATTAACAATAGTAATACTTCATATTTAAACTAGAATCCATATTTGAAGAAGATTAGAATATGAGTCAATCTCAAAAATCTTCAATAATATTCTTATAATAATTACTAACTGAAACTATAAAAAAAAATAAAAATCTAGAAAAAAAAATGGAAAAGTAATAGATACAATCCACTGTGAAGAAAAAATAGAAAATCAACTCACTAGAATAATAGTTGATAGTGGATCAGTTAGTAATATTATGTTAATTAGATTTTTAAAACAAATAAGAAGAAAGATTGATAAGTCTTTCAATATCAGTTTTATAGGTATAAATGGAAAGTCTAAATAATTACTAGGAGAAGTAGAAGGATTAAAAATAAAAATTAGAGATCTAAGTCAACAAATTAATACTCTAGCCATGGAAAAAGCAAAATATAATTTATTACTTGACAATCAATAGGCAAAGTAGTTCAAAGCTATTTTGAATTAGAATAAAAAACTCTTAAGTTTTGAAGTTGAAGAAGAGTCTATAACCATCCCAGTCATCTGTACTCAACAGAGATTAATTATGAAATTGATCAGTCTCAAAAGAAAACTTGAGAGTTCTGTTCTTGAGGATGAAGATGATGAGTTTGAATATGAAGAAGAAGAACTAGTTGATCAATCCTTATACACAGTACATGAAGAGCAAAGTGAGCAACTTGTACTCAAAGTGAAAATTCAAGAGAATCTTATAAAAATCAATAATAAAGTTATTGAACTGGAAGAAAAAGAAAGAATTTGTCAAGAAAGATTAGAGGATTATAATACCTGTATTCATGGTAAAAGAGAAAATAACTGTGTTCAATGTAAGAAAGAACAAGATATATATAAACAGTTAGAGATACTATTTCAACTATCATTAAATATCACTCTAATTATGATTGAATCAGACTTGAATCTAGAACAACAATAACATCTTTACCAAGTTCTGAATTCATATAAAGATTTTTTTGATATAATCCAGTCTGGTAAAACAAATATACTCCAACATGAAATATATTTGGAAGAAGAAAGATTTATTACTCTCTGGCCATATCATTAAAAATCACCCATAAAAAATATCTTTCTAAAAGAAAAGATTTGAAAGATGTTAAATAATGAAATAATATCTCTTTCTGATAGTTCTTGATCAACACCAATAGTAATAGTAAGAAAAAAGAATAGAAAATTCTAGTTGTGTGTGGATTACAGAAAACTAAATGAAGTTACCAAAAAAGACTAATACTCTTTTCTACAAATTGATAAACTTCTGGATTCTTTCAAAAATACTAAATACT